TTATTGTAAATCATTTTACAGTAAGAAAGAATAAAAATCTACCTTGAGTAAATCCTCAAAGTCACAAAACAAAATTGACTTGGGTAATGAAGTTTTCTTTTACATTATCATAGTATGTCTTCTGATTTACTCGCAAGGTAGTATATTGCTTCTCGAAAGTAGCGAAACGTTTGTTTTTGTTCATATTTTAGGGACGGAATATATAAACAAAGTTCAAGCTTTTTTTATGATGATGTCCAACCAAAATTTTGTTAAATGTCCAACCAAGATGGTGTCTTAGTAGGACATATGTCCTTTCAAAAGAAGAATAATTATTTTTAGCCCTGGGACTCGTTTCTTGAAAGTCCCGATAATTAATGGGCCCGTAAAGCTGTTTTGGTTTACATGCAAGATAGAGGTTTCAGTTGTTTTGCATCTAACATGATATAACTATTAGTTAATGAAACAAAATGGAGTGGTTTGCTAGCCAGGAACCGCTATCTTATTCTTTATATTTCGATTTGAATATTTGATTTCGGGCCTGAAATGTTACCATGACTTTCGAGAAACGGGCCCCTGGGCTACGATTTTTTGGGGAAGCAGTGGTGGAGCAAAAGTTTGAGTGCTCAGTCAAGTTCCATAACACTGATGCAATTTTTGGGATAAGTTATAACCTGAGAAAACAGCCGACACCACGCTGCTAAATGATATCTGAAAAATAACTGCAAAAATTCCATACTGATGTTGCGCCACTTCCCAGATCTGGGTAGTGCAGCCTCCTGATTGGCAAAAAAATTGGCTTTATCCAGACAGAAGCACTACCCATATGTGACCCATCACCAGTGTGGAATTTCTGCACTTGTTTCTTATAAATCATTTCACAGGGGAACAAGAGATGGTGTTGCAAAATGTTTTCTCAGGCTGGGGATGAGTTTGTTGTTGGCTCTTTTCTCTTCTCTGAAGGAGGAATTTTGTCATCCTTGTAATTTATTAAAACTTATGCACAGCAAATTGTATCAAATCCTTAACTCAACATTGTTTCAAGCCTAACTGATGAATACCTCTTTAAAAACCCTACTTTTTCTTTTTGAAAACAATGCTCAGATGGGTATGCAAATATTTGTCACAGTTTAGCACCCAACTCAACTGCTAACAGTACTAAGTACTTTCAATACTAAACCTACCTTGAGACAGCGGTAAGGAATGATATATCGTCAGCATAGCAATGACTGCTGTTTCAAAACCAGTCAAAAGACACTGCAGCTCCTGGCAAAGTAATTTGATAACAGAAAATCCTCAATCTACCCAGTAACTAAACTCAATACAGCTGTGAAAAGATTTGGTTACAGATGATAATTAAACTAAGAAACTAGGAAACCATCAGTTTTATGACAACCAAGTATTAAATACCCCTTTCTTCTCTTTTATATTTTAATCCAATAATATAATGATTTTACTGCACCGTGAAACAGATACTGACAACTAATGCCAAATAGCTACAAGTAAACGAAAGGATTTTATAAATTATGTGTAGTCATCTCAAGTAAAATGCCCTTCATACTGAATTATTACTAATTGATTGTTGCTGGTAGATTAAAAAATCCTGGCAAATGAAAACATCCTGTCAATTCAAACCAGAATATGTCAGGTTACTGTTGAAGCATCAAACATTTTTATGTAAGTACAGGGTTTCAATAGTGTCACACAGAACCTTTATCAATGGATGGAAACTTTGGCTTTGGTGATTTATGATGGAAAAACATGTGACAAAGATCCTGTGATGGAATGAAACCTGATTTGTTCTGATTTGTCAAATTCCTCACTTCAACAGATGGTGCTGGAGGTTTGGAAAAGGACACTGTCAATTTTGTAGCTTCCTTGGAAACTGCTTTGAATGTCATTCCTGAGAAAAAAAAAGAAGACTAAATTATCACCACTCATCCTTTTTTAAAAAAAAATAACAAACTCTCTTCCATCATTTTTTTATGCACTATTTTAATCATAACAAGGATAAATTGCCCAGAACAACAAGGAGCAGTGGTGAACTTAGACTCCGGTCTATAAAGTTAGAATGTACGAAAAAGGCCTTTTTTGTCGTGGTTGTGTAATTTTTAATCAGATTCAGGTTTTAAGATTTTATGATTTTACTTGTAATTTAATTTTTAAGTCCTTTATATAACATTTTATAGCTATTTTTAATTATTGTAATTAATTATCACCTCTAAGGATAGCAGTTTTTATTTTGTACAAAAACTGAAGGAGTTACCCTATTGAAATAAAGGTTTCTATCTATCTATTTCCAAACATTTTCTGTCATTTTCTTTGGAACGTTTTCGATTATCACACTATCATGATCAGTCCCTCAAAAGAGGAAGGTTAACAACAATTATTTCTTTCCTGGTGGTATATGACTATCCCTATTTTGCGCTTTTTTTTTTTTTTTTTT